AGTCCCATCGGATTGCATCGGCTGTGGGGATGAAGACGACAACTCCCATGATTCCACACTCAGTCACGGCATCATCAAACTACGCCTTTGTCTATTTGTTTATTTTGAATATGCGCCCTCTAGCGGTGAAAATTACATATTGTGCCTTTAAGGTGATGAAATGTTTCATTTTCCTGCAATGTCTAATTTGTGTGTTGTAGGCCAGTCAAAGCCACAACAGAGTACAGCTCCGGCGCCAACTGTACGTCCGTTACAACCTCAGAATGGAAGTGATGGTATGGAAATAAACATAAAAATTTATTCAGTTTTTAGTATAGATATTTGTATATAAAAACAAAATTTACTGACCACAAACTTTTGTACGGTAGTGTATATTGTTAGAAAAGACTTCTATTTTAAATAAATGCTCTTCTTTTTAACTTTTTATTCATCAAAGAATCCTGAAAAAAAGTATGACGGGTTCCAAAAAACCATTAAGCAGCACAACAGTTTCCAGCACTGATAATAAATCAGCATATTAGGATGATTCTGAAGGATCATGTGACACTGAAGACTGGAGTAATGATGCTGAAAATTCAGCTTTGCATCACAGGAATAAATTAGATTTGAATGTATATTAAAAAAGAAAAACATTATTTTACATCATAATAATATTTCACAATATTACATTTTTCCTGTATTTTTGATCAAATAAATGCAGCCTTGATGAGCATAAGAAACTCCTTTAAAAAAACATAAAAAAATCATTCTGATCCCAAACTTTTGACCAGTAGTGTATATAAATTAATTATATTAATGTTCCTGAGCTGTAATGCAGTAGCTGTGTTATGAAGTTCTGAATTGATTGTATTTTAGATTATAAACATTACGTTATTACTAAAACTACTAATCCAAAAACTACTAGTTATATACTATAACTAAAATATATTAGTTGAAGATCTGACCCATTTTCAAGATACTCATAGGCTACTCGGATCCGATTTTTTTTGTTTAGCTGTTCACATTGTTGTTTTAAATGTGGCCAATATCAGTTTTACAGTGTGAACAGATCATGGTTCTGAACTGACCCGCATGCGCTAAAGAACAATACAAACAGGGTTTCCAGGTTTACACAACAAAATCCGCCCAATTGCTTCTTAAAACTAGTCCAAAACTAGCACAACCATGTTCAGGGGGATAAATATTGCGTTAGTGGGGTCGCGTTGACCCACGAAGTTGAAAAACAGTTTAGGAGAACAGAAACAGCGGTGTAGAATAAAGAGAAAATATGTGGAAAAATAATGTGCTTTTTTACGAACGAAACGAAGCATGAACGCATGTTACAGTGCACCCCATAAACACAATCAAGCCTTCGAAAATAGCTGATTTACCACCCCTTTAATATCATGACTAATAATAGGCAGTTCCTTGCACTTCTTGTCAGGGATTTGATCCAACTCATAGCCATAAGTATTAAACTTGAATGTTTAACATGTCCTGTGCTGTCAGTGGTGAATGTCAAACCATGTGATTTGTTGAGGAATATATAAATAAATATAGTTCTCAGAAGAAGAATCAGAATGAACTTTATTGCCAATAAGTAATAACAATATATAAATTGACAATTGTATGTGCAGGTATATTACAATAGACAGTTTTTTTTTGTATGTACAGGTATATTATGTGCAAATTTGAAGTGTAGACTAAATGTGTGTGTTAGATAAATAAGTGTATGGGTGTATAAATAGTGTTGTGTGTTCCACAGTTATGTGTTCCTTTCTGTAGTGGAAACACCAAAACGTCTAGCCATCAAGTAGTGTTTGTGACCTTGTGTTTGATGGTGTGAAAATCCATGATCTGCTTTTTGTTGTTTTAATGTCATTTTTTTTAATCCCAAGAATAGAAAATCTTAATTTCATTCCCTTTATCTTGCAGATACCCATTGTTGTTATTAAAAAGCATTTTAAGACAGCATTTTAAGAGTCTAATTTTCTTTGACATTTTTAACTTCAGTGTGGATTTGCAAGCTGTATCCGACAGCCATTTTAATTCACACTTTCAAGATTGTCACATAAGATTGTTTCAGAGGTGTTGTCATTACAGTCAGTCATTATTTCAAAATCGTGCTCTTGGTGTCTGTGATTATGTCTACACTATTATAGTTCTTTGCAGTGATGTGTGGTTTTCTCCTCTTCTCTCATTAGGTTCAATGAACAGACCTGCTCAGAGCTTCGGGAAAAGGCCCATGGCTGCCCCCAGCACTCCTGGAGGCAGCTCTAAAGTTGTGCCCATTGCCAGCCTCAATCCATACCAGTCAAAGTCAGTCTAAATCTCACATCTACACCCCTTAATATTTTTCTTTCCAATCCGATTGACCGTTGCATAGCACATAACATATTTTGTTGGGCATAATTCATAAGAGTGTGTTGTTTTCTTCAGATGGACTGTTAGAGCCAGAGTTACCAATAAGAATTCCATCCGCACATGGAGTAACTCCAGAGGGGATGGGAAGCTCTTCTCCATGGAGCTTGTGGATGAAAGCGTAAGCATTCATCAGCAGTGATCAGATTAGAAGCTTGTAAGAGTGTTAATATGCAATAACATCTTGATTTTGATTTATTATAGGGGGAGATTAGAGCAACTGGGTTTAATCACGAGGTGGACAAATTCTACTCCCTCATTGAGCAGGGAAAAGTAAGGCCTACTTTCTTTTCAGTTGTGTTATATGTTCTCATCTAATATTTGCCGTGGAAGTAGGGCTACACAATTTATCATAACAATAAAGTTATAACGTGTGTTGCTAACTTGACTTGATTCATCCCTCTTGTTGTCCTCAGGTCTACTACATCTCAAAAGGCACTCTGAAGATTGCCAACAAACAATTCTCTTCACTTAAGAATGACTATGAAATGACTCTAAATGGCGAGACAAGCATCATCCCTTGTGAGGACAGCCATGATGTCCCCAAGGTGCAGTGCGACTTTGTTTCCATTGCTGACCTGGAGTCCCGGGAGAAAGACACCATCGTAGGTGAGCATCTTCCCCGGCCTGTGCGATTGGCATCATCAATAACCAGCATTTTAATAATTAACTGTGATGGAGACAGTAGCACGGCTCTCTGTAACAAATGTGTTGAGACCCAGGAGGTTGTGGTAATTATAGCGTTGATGATGAACACAATATTAATAATGCTTATGACAGTAATGGCCTGTGGCGCAGATTGACTTTGTGTCCCTGTCGGGTTCTAGCAGAACCAGAGGAGAAAGATGCTGTCACTGGTAGAATGAAGAGTCAATAAGCATGCCTCTAATTATGGTAATGGCAGTTGGAGCACGCCGAGGTGCAGCAGGCGTATTTCTTATCTGAGATTTGAGTCAGGTGCTGGCAGTGATTTGTGAAATGCTCCTAATGGCAGCTAAATGATTCATAAAGGCTTCTGATATGAGAGGATTAAGATTGCGCGCTGTAATGGAGCATTGACGGGTGTTGTGGAATTACATTCTGGATGAGTGGTATAGTCATCCCAAACCTATTTACTCTTGGTAAATTGAGGGGAGTAGCAGTGTTGTAAACCCAGGTGGTGTGTGTGATTGCAGATGTGATTGCAGTGTGTAAAAACACAGAGGATATGACTCGCATCATGACCAAAAACAGTCGTGAGGTTTCGAAGAGGAACATCCAACTGATGGACATGTCCGGCAGAGTCATCCAGCTCACCATGTGGGGTAATGATGTACGTAACGGATCAGATCAGTCTTTATTCCTTTTACATTATTCAGTGCCTTGTAGTACAAAATAAAATGATTTTGTAAAATTAGTTAATATTGTGATGAATGTAATGCTTCTTAAGATTATTATTTTTCTGTGGACCATGAAGTTGCATAAAGACTCAGTATTTTAAAACATATTTTTAATGTGTTTCACATTAGAAAGCATCCTTCATTCTAATATTCAGATTTGGTGTTCAAAAAACATTTTTAGCATTTTTAATATTCATATTTAGTATCAATGCTGTTTCCATAGAAATATTAAGCAGACTAACTGTACATTTTATTTATCTTTTGATGAATAGCAAGTTCAAAAGAACAGCGCTTATTTGAAATGGAAATCTTTTGTAACGTAAATGTCTTTACTGCCACTTTTAATCAATTTAATGCATACTTGCTAAATAAAAGTATTAGTTTCTTTCAAAAAAGAAAACATTTAAAAAAATGTATGGACTCCAAACATTTGGATGTTAGTGTAATCTCAGCTGACTGGAATCCTCATGCAAACAGTGACATCCAGCCCTAAACACTCTGATCTTGTACCAGATGATGTTTTTGTCAAGCATTTGGCGAAACTTACCTCTCCCATTACAGCTGCCAGATGTCGGCTTCTATTTGGCATGTCAGCCATTCTCATCCAATCAGGATTTGCCATAAAAGACCAAATGCATAAAACCATTTAGATGGTAAATACCTTATGGATCCTTTGCACTGCTGCTTGCAAGATAAATGTCAGACTGTAGAAGGAGTATGAGCAGTTGTTCAGTGCTTAACTATTTCGCTTTCCTTCCCTCACTCTCCAGGCAGAGACGTTTGATGGCAGTGGGCATGTATATATATATATATATATATATATATATATATATATATATATATATAAAACACACATGCATATATGGTATATCAGTCTGGTGAGTAAACAAAAAAATTTACTAGCCAATGGCGATTCAATTGCGAAGGTGTCCGTAGAGGGTTGCTCCGTGTGCTCCATTTATTTACCTCCCAGTAACACAGACCCCCAGCCTTGAAGGGAAATAAGATGAAAGCGGTGCATAACAGGGCTACAGAGTTGAATTTCACTTTATTTTCTGGCACTTTTTTTTTTTGCACATTTTGACAAATGATTAAAACCTGTTTCACCAGCCTCTAGTCTGCAAGTTTGAGAGGGTAATTATTTTGGGGGGATCTGAAGGCTTCATTTACATAATGAGGGTAGTGGAATGTGACTGAACACAGCGGGGTGAGGTAGTGGAGAGGTAGTGCTCTCACAGCAGCTTTCCTTAAAAGTCCCAGAGTGCCAGCTCGAAGCTTCTGGTTTCTATGCATGGCTGTGCGTAGGGCTTGGACTGGTGTATTTCCTTGCATTTTGAGGCGCTAAAAATGCTCTTTGTCAGCAACGTTTCAGAACTTCAGTTTTGCTGATCCAGTCATAGGTAAGTTCAACTGCTTAGTCTCTGGGCTCACGTCTGTCCTCTTTTCACTTGGAGAGCCAGAGATAATGAGCTTTCAAATCATGGGCCAATGCGCAGTGTATGGCCTCTTGGCCAGCTTTCTGAAGGTCCAGCGGGCCACTGTGGAATCGATACATGCCCTTCAATTAGTAGAGCTGCAGTAAGTGCTGTTTTGAACCTGGAGGTGTTGTTGAGGTCTGCAGCATGAGGACTCATTCAGCCACTTGACACATTGTGCCAGTTTTCTACTTCAGAGACCTCTTAAAGTTGTAACTTTATTTTACAGCTGTTGTAGTCCATATTTCTGCCACCAGTGGTTAAAAATAATGCGCTAGAAAGATAAAAGAACGCCCCCCCCCCCCCCCCCCCC